TGGTCCCCTGAGCACCGCCAGGAGTAATTCCTGAGTGCATAAACATGGAGTAACTCCTGTGCATCACCGGGTGTGGCCCAAAAAGCAAAAAAAAATGCTGGATCAGTTGACATTCTAAAGAAAGCAAATGTGGGTCCCTTTTCCCCTACATCCCACAAACACCAGCTGTTTATCGTTTTGATGAGTGCCAGTCTCAATGGACATTTTTAAAATCTTAAGGGCTGTCGCCCGATCTGCCTATTGTCTGTCATCTACAAGTTGTTCACTTGAGTCATCCTAAATAGGATTGGCAGAACACTAGATGAAGGACAACCATGCGAGCAAGCCGGGTTCCGCAAAGGATTCAGCACCATCGACCATATCCACACGATAACCAAGCTCATTGAGGTTTCTCGGGAATTCAAGATGCCGCTCTGTTTAACGTTCATTGATTTAAAGAAGGCCTTTGATTCTTTTGAGACGGAAGCGGTCATTGAAGCCCTAGCCAATCAGGGCATTCAAGCCCAATACATCAAGATCCTCTGTGAGCTGTATTGTGGATTCACTACCAGGATCTCACCATTCTACAAAGAAGTAATCATTGATGTCAAGAGAGGGGTTTGGCAGGGTGATACCATTTCACCGAAACTCTTCAGTGCCACCCTCGATAACATCACGCGACGACTGGAATGGGAAGGAATGGGAGTGAAGATAGATGGTTGGCAACTACACCACCTCCGCTTTGCTGATGACATTGTTTTAATAACACCAAACATCAGCCAAGCGGCACAAATGCTGGCCGACTTTGACCATGAGTGTGGAAAGGTAGGACTACAGCTGAATCTTACGAAGACAATGTTTAAGAGAAACAGCCTCGTTCCTGATGCCCCATTCGCTCTCAATTGAACGACCATCTCCGAATGCAACAGCTATGTGTACCTAGGTCAAGAAGTCAACATGACAAATGACCTGGCACCTGAGCTGCGCAGGAGGAAGAGAGCGGCTTGGAATGCCTTCAAGAACCTGGAAGAAATAGCTAAGAGGACAAAGAACCTCCGGCTCCAGGCACATCTCTTTGATTCCACTATTCTTCCTGCATTAACATATTCCTCAGAGACCTGGGCCCTAAGCAAACAGGATGAGAATGCTATTCAGATCTTCCAAAGAAGAATTGAAAGAGCTATGCTTGGAATATCACGTTTCACTCAAATGAGAGAAAGAATCCGGAGTTTCGACCTCTGTCCATGATCAAGAATCATGGACGCTGTCTCATTTGCCAAGGTGTCAGAAATCAGATGGGCTGGTCTCGTAATGAGATTTAAAGACGACTGCTGGACTAGAGCTGTTACTGACTGGATTCCAGGGGATGTCAAAAGACCGTGTGGCCGTCCACCTACCAGATGGTCAGACTTCTTTATCGAGACCATGAACTATCGGTTTGAGGCTCTTCATGTTCCCAGAGTGAACAGATTCCATTGGGCTACACTAGCACGCGACAGGGACAAATGGAGACGTTACTGGCGCCCGCTCGAGCAAATCCACGACTAACGGGAAGTTAAGTGATTAAGTAAGTGATTAAGGGTTTTCTAATTATTGTATAATGCCATCTGTAACTAATTTGAGTTCGATTTCTTTTTCCAATCTGGATGCTCCTGATTATTCTTGCATAATTTCTATGGTCAAGAATTCCAATACTGAATTAAATAATAGTAGTGAGTATCATCCTTGTCTTGTGCCTGATCATAGTCAGAAAACTTTACTTTCCACCACTGAATGTAGTGTTGTCTGTGGGTTCATGGTAAATGGATTTAATATATTGATGAAAGTTTTTCTATCTCCATTTTATTGAGAGATTTTTTGATCTTCTGTTTTGAATCTTGTCACATGCTTTCTCTCCATCTGTTTTTGTGATTCTATAACTTTTATTTTTTCTTGTGCCTTATAGTGCCTTATTTTTCATGATGAGTATATATATAAACATCCTTGCATCCCTAGGAGCAATCATACTTACATGATGTATTATCTCTTTTATTTAATTTTGAATTTTATTTGCCAATATTTAAGAATCTATATTCATCAGGGATAAAGAGGTATTGCTTTCTTCTTTAGGTATATCTCTTCTTTTTTGTGGAAAGGTTATGTTTTCCTCATAGAAACTTGTGAGGACTCATGTTTTTTGTATTTCTCGAAGAACCTGAAAAGGATTGGAAGTAGGTATTTTTAAAATAATGGAAGAACTTAGTATTTGATACCTATCTGAATTTGTGCTTTTCTTTTGGAGGGAGATTTTAGATGTGCAACTTCAATTTCCTAGATAGTTATTGGTCTGTTCAGTACTTCTGTTTCCTTGTAATTTTGACTTGGAGGGTTATATGAGTCCAAAAATGTATTCATTTCCTCTAGATTCTCCAAATATTTGTCAAAACAATTCATAGCAGTACATTTTTTGGCTTTTTGGGGTAACACCAGGCGATGCACAAACGTTACTCCTGGCTTTGCACTCAGGAATTACTCCTGGCGGTATTCAGGGGATCATAGGGGGTGCTAGGAATCGAATTCGGGTCCACTGCATTCAAGGCACACACCCTACCTGCTGTGATATTACTCCAGGCCCAATTCATAGTAATTATTTTTTTAATTTTATTGAATCACCGTGAGATAGTTATAAGCTTTCATGTTTGGGTTACAATCACACAATTATCAAACACCCATCCCGCCACCAGTGCACATTCCCCACCACCAATATCCCCCTTTCCAAACCTCCCTCTGCCTCCATGGCAGCCATGATTCCCCATAATTTCTCTCTACTTTTGGGCATTATGGCTTGCAATACAGACCCTGAGAGGTTATCATTTATCTACTTTCTGCACACATCTCCAGTCCTGACCAATTCCTCAAGCCATATTTTTTTAGTGATCCGTTCTGTATTCCAGCTGCCTTCTCCCCTTTGCTCATAAGGCAGGCTTCCAGCTATGGAGCAATCTATATGTCCCGTGTATCTACAGTCCTTAGATGTCATCCTCATGTTATGTTGTTTTATGCTCCACAAATGAGTGCAGTCCTTCTATGTCTGTCGATCTCTTTCTAACTCATTTTACTTAGAATGATACTATCCGTGTCTATCCATTTATAAGCAAAGTTCATGACTGTATCTCTCCTAACAGCTGCATAGTATTCCATTGTGTAGATGTAGCAAAGTATCTTTAACCATTCATCTGTTCTAGGGCAATTGTGTTGTTTCCAGACTTTGGCTATTGTGAACAGTGCTGCAATGAACATATAGGTACAGATGTCATTTCTACTGTGCTTTTTTTGCGTCCTCAGGATATATTGCCAAAAATGGTATTGCAGGGTCATATGGAAGCTCAATTTCTAGTTTTTGCAGGACTGTCCATATGGTTTTCCAGAAAGGCTGGACCTAGTGGGCATTTCCACCAACAGTGAAAGAGTGTCTCTTTTTCCCCACATCCATGCCAGCACTGGTTGCTTTTGTTATTTTTGAAAGTGTGTCAGTCTCTGTGGTGTGAGATTATATCTCATTGTTGTTTTCATTTGCATCTCCCTGATGGCTAGAGATGTGGAGCATGTTTTCATGTGCCTTTTAGCCATTTGTATTTCTTTTTTGAGGAAACTTCTGTTAATTTCTTCTCCCCATTTTTGATGGGGTTGGAGGTTTTTTTTATTGTACAATTCTACTAGTGTCTGGTATATCCTGGATGGATATTAATCACTTATCAGATGGGTATTGGCTAAATATTCTTTCCCATTCTGTGGGCTCTTTCTGTATTTTGCTTACTGTTTCTTTTGAAGTGCAGAAGCTTTTTAGTTTGATTTAGTCCCATTTATTTATGTTTGCTTACACTTGCATGGTCAGTGCTGTTTCATCCTTACAGATGTTTTTAGCTTCAATGTCGTGAAGAGTTCTGCCTACATTTTCCTCTATGTACCTTATAGATTCATGTCTGATATTGAGGTATTTAGTCCACTTTGATCTGACATTTGTGCCTGGCCCGCTTGAGCAAATTGGTGAACAGTGGGAGGACAGTGCTACGGTGCTAATTAATTTAATCACTTGCTAGCTATATATTAATTAAAATGTGTCTTGAACCTGTAAAAGAGCACAATGTCAGGGATCTTGTGCACTTGTTGCAGTAGCATATTTCATAATCTGTCCTGGAAAACTACTTTATATGTCCAAGATAATCACTTTAAGTAATGATTTTTAAAAACAAATTCACGTTCCCTTTTGAGTTTATCTTTCTGAATCTTTGTTGACTAACTTTTGCCAATGTTACTAAAACAGTTTGGACCTATACTATAATAAATAGGGTTGTTTTTTGGCCGGAGGATAGTACAATGTGTTGGGAGTTTGCCTTTCACATGGACAACCTGGGTTCAGTCTTTGGCATCCCAGATGGTCTCCCAAGCACCGCCAATTGTAAATTCTGAGTGCAGAGCTAGGAATAACTCCTGAGCATTGCTAGGCGTGAGTCAAAAAGCAAAAGAAAATAGGGTTTTAGGTATATGTAGGGATGCAGTTAAACCAGCAGTTACTAAAAATTAATAAAGACGTATTTGCTTAATCTGCTTCTGTAAAGAGAGTATATTATTCGTATCATGTGTAACAATGAACAACAATCTATATTTTGAAGACCTTTTCTTGAGCTCTATATAATTCTGAATTTTATTATATGCAAAATGGATTTTTGTATTTAAGAAACAGATAAGAAATTAATATATAAGAAATGGATATGTAAGAAGTGTATATATGTCAATTTCTTAATATAGGTAATATATAAGAACAAGCAATTATATATAATAAATCGATATACAAGAAATGGATAAGAAATACCTATTGCATACAAAGCATTTTGCATATAATCCTGAATTTTCTTATATGTAAAATAATCAATATGCAAAAACAGATTATCCTGTGTCTAATTCATGAACCTGAATTGAGTTTTTCAAGTCCTAGTCATGTTTAAGACTATCCTCAGCCTGGTATTTTCTTTTATTTGTAGGGTTATCTGAAGCAATGCCGGAAGAGAAGGGACATGTTCAGTGATGAGCAACTGAAGATAATCTTTGGAAACATTGAAGATATCTACAGATTTCAGATGGGCTTCGTGAGAGACCTGGAAAAACAATACAACAATGATGACCCACATCTCAGTGAAATAGGACCCTGCTTCCTGGAGCATGTAAGTATTTTTCTCTTTCATAATATTGGAGGTTTTTTTTTTTCAGAAATGTGTGGAAGCAGTTTAAGTTGTTTATTCCTGCTCAGATGCTTATCTTTGTGGTTGGAAATGGATTCTCCTGCCCTTTGCCCCTTACCAGGATCTGTGAATTTAGAAAGCTGCTGAAGTTTGCCTTAGATTTCGATAATCACCCTTCATTTTCTCTCTGCTTTTTGACAGTTATCAGTAAGCTTTATCTTTGACTTATATTTTAAGTAAAGTAAAAGTAAAGTAAAGGCCCTCCCGTTGATCATTGATTTGCTCGAGCGGGCCCAGTAACGTCTCCATTGGAGACTTTGTTGTTACTGTGTCTGGCATATCGAATATTCTCGGTAGCTTGCCGGGCTCTCTGAGAGGGGCGGAGGAATCGAACTCGGGTCGGCCATGTTGGCTGCGTGCAAGGCAGACGCCCTACCCGCTGTGCTATCGGAACCAGTTGGATATTCAGTTTCCACAGGACAAAGTATTGGGAGAGGAGGATAAAATATTCACCACTTGGAGAATTCATGAATCTAAAAAAGAGAGGAGACTAGTTTTACATGGGAAAAGAAATGGGCCCCTGCAAGGCATTTAGAGGAGAGCACTGTTGGGAAAGAAGTAATAAGTATAGGTGAATAGAGTGCATTATTTAGAGAAATTAATTCTGGTAACCAAAAAAGAATATGTTTGTAATTACTGAAGAACCTTATTTAAGTAAGTTGCATTTTTTGGACTTTCTTAGGTGGAATATATGATAGTTTTACTATATATCTCTGGTTTCTCTAACATCTTTTGAGTATTATTCACAGATTTCCTAGTGTCTTTAAAAATTCTTCTTTCACCTATTTTATATCATAACACCTTTACATGGCACAAAATTTAAATAACAAATCATTGTATGCAGCCAAAAGCAAGTTTTCAAATTCTTTTCTAATGGAAATGAGTATAGTTGACATTTCTAAGACTACCCCCATGGGTGGTGATTTACTTTAAAGAATTGTGTGTCTCAGCATAGAATAGTTATGTGTTTTAGAGCTGAAGGCTACATAGCAAAATCAGCAACAGGGAAAGTTCCATGGAATAAATTTCAGAGAAACCAGACACTTTTTAAGTGTACTTTCCCATTGGAATCCCACAGAATACACAATACCACAGAATACCCAATGCAATTCAAGTAGAACACTGTCTAGAAAGGGAATTCATTAGGAACTTAGTGCCTAATATTTAGGGACAGGAGGTGATCATGTGGATAGCCTGTTTAACATGAACCAAAAATTGTGGACTTCCATACTAAAAGCAGGTATTTAGTCCAAACTATATTGTTCATACAACTAGTTAGATACAGTGAGTGAGTTTCTCTTCTCAGGGAGAACTCTTGTGAGAACTATCTTAAACTCTGACTTATGAGATACCAGAGAATGGCTAATATTTTAACTAGTTCTTTTGAAAGATAGTTGTCTTAAGACCTACTATGTTAACTGTTTTCAGCATAAGATTTAGACTGCTTCAGCCCTTACGTTGGACAGGATTTATGGAAGTTAAGTTTTCATATGACATATTAATTTTATTGCTGATTATATATCCTAGACACTGACAATTTCAAAGAGGTCCATAAGGGAGAATTTATAAGACTTTTGAATGTGTGGTGGTTTTGGTTGTAGTGGAGTACAGTTAGAAGCAACTTAGGTATTGATCACATGGATGATGAATAAGAAACAACTGTTATAAAAATGTGGACCAGAACCAGCCCCTGATAAACAAGCTTAAAGTATAAAAACTGAGAGGATTAAGGAAAGGGACAGTAATAAGGGAGAAAAAGTGTGGCGTTAGGCAGCGAATAGCCACACAGAGCATACACTGTCCTCCATGTACAATATTTATTGTTTAAAACCAGTAACCATGAGAAGAACAATATTCTTTGGTCAAATGCCTAAATATCTCAATCTACTTGGGCTAGACTTATATACATCCGAGGGCCTTAGTATATTTGGATGAACATTTTTGTATTGGATTTTTTGCTCTGGGAGAGGGCACAGAGATAGAGCAATTACATAACTGTGGTAGTATTTGGCCTTCGGGTATCAGTATTTCGGGTTTAAAGTCACCATAAACTACACATCCTGTCATCTTAATCACCGATATAGCTGGGAACATCAGACTTGATATATACAAATTTCAGTGATGTACATAGATATAATAAACATAATTTTGAATGTGAAATGTAGAATATAGGAGAGATTTCCTTTAGTGTACCCTCTCCTGTGTGTTGTAAGGCACTTAACATTTGGGTCTCTACCCATTTTATGCCAGCTACCCTCAAGTTGTGATAACCAAACATGCCTCAAGATGTCATCAAAGGTCTACTGGGGGACAAAAACAGTTAATTTATTGAAATGAGCGTACACTTTTTAGCCTTAAGAATGTTAATGTGAATTCACATTGAGTTATTTTCATGTTAAATAAACATTAGTTTGCCAAAATAAACCTAGCTTACTATGGTATATTATCATTCCTATTTACTGTATTTATTTACTCTATAAATTATTTTATTATTTTGCACCTACACCCAGTGGTTTTTCAACGATTACTTCTAGATCTATGATCATGGATCACTCCTGTCAGTGCTCATGGAACAATATGTGATGCTGCGGATTGAACTGGGGTCAGCTACATGCAAGTCAGTTGCCTTAACCCCTCTCTGGCCTTTATTTTCCCTTTAAAAATAGATTGGTTGGCAGTAGTGATCGTAAAGTGGGTAAAGCACTTGCCTTGCATGTGGCCAAGCTGGATTTGATCCCTGGAATCCCATATGGTTCCCTGAGCCCACCAAGAGTAATTCCTGAGTGAAGAGCTAGGCATAACCTTTGAGCAACACTTAATGTGTTCCCCAAACCAAAATCAAATAAATAAAAATGGACTGTTTATCATACACTTATGGAGTTTAATTTAATTCATTTTGTGTAGCTATAATTTACATAAAATTAGTCACTAGGGTTTTGTTCTTGTGTTAGTTCTGGTTTTCTGATCACATGCAACCCTGGCGGAGCTCTGGGGACCATAATGCCATGGATTAAACATGATCAGCCTCAACAACCTATCTGCTGTACCTGTAACCTGGCCCCAAGAATCACCAGTTTTAAGCACATAATTGCTGAGTTTAAAATATACCCATAATTGTGAAAATACCATCATATAAAAGATATAGAGTTCACCTCTGCTTTATCAAGTTATCTTATTATCCCTTTATAGTCAATCTCTTTCTACATATAGGTCTTAGGAAGCAGAGATATACTTTTATTTATCATACATTTATATTTTACATGTACCATAAAATGGAATTATACAGTTTGAGTTTTTTAAATTTCTGGATCATACCCAGCACTGCTTGAAGGCTATTACAGGCTCTATTATACACTATTCTCACCATGTTTGTGGAACATGTGGTTCCAGGGATCAACAGAGCAAGTGTTCTAGCCCTTTAGAATGATCTTACAAACAAGAGTAATTCTAATGTTGAACTTCTATCACTTGACACTATATTTTGGTATCTATCTAGGCTGTTTCATTTATCATTAATTGGTTTTCTATTTCATAGTAATATTCTATTGAATATAGAAACAAATTCCTCAGTTTATCTACGTTGTTTGTAGTTTTATTATGAATAACCGTTCTCTGAACATTCACACAGAAATATTTATGAGAACATATATTTTCTTTCTTGTTGGTTAAATTCCCAGGATAAATTGGAGGAATTTTCCAATATTTATCGAGTCTGTTATTAATTTAGGTTTCTCATGCACATAATTCCAATACCACACCCATACCAATATTTTCTCCTCTCCCAAGAACCCCATCTACTTCAGTTCAACTGATAAAATTTTCTCTTTTTTTTTGCTAATTTTATTGAATCATTATGAGATAGTTATAAGCTTTCATGTTTGTGTTACAATAACACAATGATCAAACACCTATTCCTCCACCAGTGCATATTCCTTACCACCAATATCCCCGATATAACCCCCCTTTCTCGACCTCTCTCTGCCTCCATGGCAGATATAATTCCCATAATCTCTCTAGTTTGGGACATTATGGCTTGCAATACAGACCCTGAGAGGTTATCATGTTTGGTCCTTTATCTACTTTCTGCACACATCTCCAATCCTGACCAATTCCTCAAGCCATATTTTCCTTAGTGATCCCTTCTGTATTCCAGCTGCCTTCTCCTCTTAGCTCCAGGCTTATAGCTATGGAGCAATCTATCTGTCCCGTGTATCTACAGTCCTTAGGAGTCAGCCTAATTTTATATTGTTAATACTCCACAAATGAGTGCAGTCCTTCTATGCCTGTGACTCTTTCTAACTCATTTCACTTAGCAGGATACTCCCCATGTCTATCCATTCATAAGCAAAGTTCATGACTGCATATGTCCTGACAACCGCATAGTATTCCATTGTGTAGATGTAGCAAAGTTCCTTTAACCATTCATCTGTTCTAGGGCAATTGGGTTGTTTCCAGATTTTGGCTATTGTAAACAGTGCTGCAATGAACATATAGTTACAGATGTAATTTCTACTGTGCTTTTTTGCATCCACGGGATATATTGCTAGAAGTGGTATTGGGGGGTAATATGAAAGCTCAATTTCTAGTTTTTGCAGGGCTGTCCATATGGTTTTCCAGAAAGGCTGGACTAGTGGGCATTCCCACCAACAGTGAGTGTCCCTTTTCCCTCATATCCATGCCAGCACTGGTTGCTTTTGTTCTTTTGAAAGTGTGCTAGTCTCTGTGGGATGAGATAATTTCTCATTGTTGTTTTGATTTGCATCTCCCTGATGGCTAGCGATGTGGAGCATTTTTTTTTTTCATGTGCTTTTTGGCAATTTGTATTTCTTTTTTTGAGGAAGCTTCTGTTCATTTCTTCTCCCCATTTTTTGATGGAGTTGGAGGGGTTTTTTTTCTTGTACAATTCTACTAGTATATTCTGG